CAACGTGCTGTGTATTTGGAAGCTCTTATTAGCAAGTAATTATATAAAAATGAGCAATTCTGCATGGATTTTGCTCTTTGCTCCACCCTGGGAGTGGCATAGCTTGATCACTCAGGTTCCAAAGGCAGGAGTGACGACATGTTCATAGTTAAGCCAAGCAGTGTGGCCCCTGTTTGGAGACAGGAGAATTGGTGAGGGATTCAAGATCTAGAACTCTCAGTGTGCTTCATATTCAGTTTTCTGCCCATAGCTGGGGTGATGACAACCAACCCACAGCTAGAAGAATGGTGGGAAATAGGTGAGAGGTATCAGTGTACCAGCCAGACAGCATGGGAAGATGCTAGCTCACCAACTACTAAGAGACCCTCATACCCAACCTTTCAAAGATGTTTCTTTTAAAGATTTATTTAATCTGTCTGTCTTTCTGTGTTCCTATATATTTGTCTGTGTTTTGTGGTGTGTGTGTGAGTGTGTGTGTGTGTATGAGTGTGTGTGTGTGTGTGTGTGTGTGTGTGTGTGTGTGCACTTGCATGTGCAGGACCAGAGAAGACATCAGATCTCTCAAAGCTGGAGTTAAATGTATTTAAAGGAAACCTGGTTCTCTCCCTCTTGTGACAGAAATCCTCATAGCTGCTGCTGAGCCACCTCTCCAGCTCACAGCCAGCCTCTTGAAGGAAATTCTGAACCCCTTCCTTATCCTTATTGACCCTTGGTCAATTGTGCTCACTCTTCCCTTGGGGAGGCTGTTTCTTTGAAAGAGTAGTCTGCCTCCACATCAGCACCTGCTCTGTGCTTTAATACCATTCCAGATGCATTTGGGCTTTTAACAGTTTCATTGAAAATCATCCCCAACCTTGCCACTGAACCAATAAAACCCCAACTTTCAAATTCCAAAGTCCTTCCTCTTTGAACTCTGTAACCTTTGACTTGACAGTTAACCCCTCCCATCACAATGGCAGACACCCATGAGCTGCATTGTTAAGACACTTTGAACATGTAACTTCCTTTAACTTACACAACATCTTTTGTTGCAGAAACGACCCCATTTTTGCACAGCTGACATAAGCAATGCCTTGAACGACATATAAGTGACTAAAAGAGTCTGCACCCTGCCCGTACTAAGGCTCCTCAAGGACTATTGCCAATCTCTCAGCTTCTGTTTGTAACTTTTCTTTTTGTATGAAAATGTCCAATGCACTGTGGACCTACTTCATTCCATTGTTCCATTCTTAACTCAATATGCCCTGATGTACCTTGTGAATGCCCTAAATCCCTGGGAACCTTTTAAATAAGCCTCAGTGAGGGAAGTCATTTATAACAAAGGAAGTTCAAACTTTTACCTTGGGCTGATAAAGCCTCAAGCCTTGAAGTAAAACCATGAAAACATTATGGACTCTCTCCTGGCTCAGTTACCTCCATCAGTACAACACTGACCTTCTTACATCAAGATTTTCTTTGGGGTTAATTGTTTGTGTTTTTGTTGTTCTTTTATAGGACACTGGAGCTAAGAAAAATAGTCCTAAGAGACCAAAAGGTGCTTATTCTTTGATGTTGCATTGTAGATGTATTCAGTGCTTTGAGAAATGAGAAACCAAGCCTGAGCACAATGTGGGGGAATGATGTACAGTCCAGGTAAGGTGGTGTGCAGGGCTGTAGGGCACCCCAGCCAGTGAACACAATGTGGGGGGAGGATGTACATCCAGTCCAGGTAAGGTGGTGAGCAAGGGTAGGGAGAGATCCCAGCCAGCAGGTAAGAGGCCACATATAGAGGATGCTGTCGATTTCCTGGGACCTTTATCAGAATCTTTCCTTAGAAAACAGCTTGCTTTCAAGCATTCTTAAACTTGCTGTTTGTTTGCCTGCATTCAAGAAAGGGAACACATGTCCATGCTGTCCCCTCTTTCTCCAATTTCAAATTTTCACTCTTCTTTTTCGTTGAGCCAATAATTGTCATTTTGGTAACATTTGGGTATATGCTTAGTGGGCAAGGGGTTGATGCTGCCCTCGTATAATGCACACAGTTTGGATGCAATGTTTTGAAGGAAAGTGCAATAAAATAGAGGTTTACTTGATACAATTAAATGATGGAGCTTACTGAGGAAAATTGTTAAATATTGGTTATTTTAGAAGTGTCTTTATCAGACACTTAAACTCATATTGTTTAAAATTCTATGATACTATCCTAACTAACAGAAGATAAATTATTTGTTCAAAGACACACATCAGATTGCTTTGGCAACAAAATCAACTTTCCATCAATCTGTCATTTTGTAGAATATAATTTTCTAGCTTTGATGCATAAGTAGAAAAAGGAAACAGACATTTATACATAAGCAAGTGATAAATTAGGTACAAAGAGATAGATCATGCCGAGAGAACTCAAAATTGTAGAGATTCCTGCTAACCTACAGGACAAAGAAGGGATAGAGAAGAAAAATGAGACCAGTATTGTCCAAGAGGACCCGTGGAGACTGGGTAGATTCAGAGATGTCAAATCCCCTAGATGTTTGAAACCTATGAGGATAGGCAAGAGAGGCATGGCTATAGAGCAGACATGTTTGATGTGTGTGGGTGAGGATAAAGGGGAATATGGATTAGGTTTGAAATTTGTCTGCATACCCAGTCTGTGAGACTTTATTTACTGGGTTAGGTGAGAGCCTAAGTCTGTGCTCATTGAATGTTCACCTCCAGGTTTGCACTTTAAAACTGTTTGGGAAGACTATGAAGAAAAGAATGGGGCATGAAGACATTGGAATTATTTTTCTAGAAATTTACATGTGATAATCTCTTTTGGAAATCTTTACATGGTAATCAAAAGATTATGATTCGATATTGGATACATGAATGAATGTGTTTGTTTGTGTGTTTGTGACAAGGATTATCTGTGAAGCTTTGGAGCCTTTCCTGGAACTCACTATGTAGACTAGGCTGGCCTCAAACTCACAGAGATCCACCTGCATCTGCCTCCAGAATGCTGGAATTAAAGGCGTGCATCACTACCACCCAGCTGAATATTGTTTTTAAGTTCTCCAAATCATTCTTGAACATATTACTCAACAACTGTGATTTGAAAAATATCAGATGAGAAGGGAGAAGGTTAGTCACTGGGCCATCAGAGCAACAATATTATTTGTGTGGGAAGGAAAAGGCAGACAACCAAATGATAATTTGAGAGAAGAATTAATTCAAAGAGCTCAAGACAATCAGGTCTATGGTTGAAAGAGGGCTTAGAGACAAACTACTGGCTTTGAAGTCTACGACTTTGGTGGGATAGGGATAGAAACAAGAGACGGGGTAGACAAGAGTTAGGTTGGCCAGCTGTTTTGAGGTCTAAAGACGGCTGCTGTAAGGAAATGTCTGCTAGGGAGTGGTCACCACAGCACTTGAGTTAGGCGGCAAGGTTGCACCTGGAGAGATGGTTTAGGAGTGAGCAGTAGTTAAAGAAGCAACTAAATCAGGAGGGGAGATAGCACAATGGAGACAGTGAATGGAGATTTCAATTCTAATCTTTTATGTGAAAGGAAATTAATCCTGCTCTTGTGTTTCATAACCTTGAACCCTCTCAAGCCTGAGCTCTGTTATTGTTCACCTCTTCCTGCTTTCTCATGCCCCCCCAGCCCAGATTTAATTCATTGCCAGCTCTGTAATGTGAAGACCTCCCCCTGGTTCTGGTCCCTCTGCCACATCCCACCTGGACTGATGCTAGCTAGCCCCTCTACCCAGCACCCACAGTCTTTCATTTTGACTCCACCGCAGTGGACATTCCTGTGCCCATCACAAGCATCAGGTCCCTGCTTGGTCCCTTGCATGGCTTTCCATCATAATTAGCATAATGGAAGCAGTGGGGTTCTGTCTGGCCTAGCTCCACTCTACTCTCCATCCCTTCACCCACATGGGTGGTCCCTGCCTGTGAGCCACACAGCCATCTGCACAGGTTCAGTCTCTGTTCCTCTCCGCCACTGACTTCCTTCTCTTTAGGTAGTTTATTAATTTTACTGGGTTTTTTTTTTTTTTTTTTTTTTGCTGTTGTTATTTTAACAAAGCCTTCATACATGCAAGAAATTCTGATTCCTGTCTCTGCCTTTCTGTATCAATCTCTGTCATTTCTGATGTCTATCTTCTCTGTATTGGTCTGTCATTTCTGCTACCCCCCACAGAGACAGACAGACACAGAGAGAGAGACAGACAGAGACATATGGGTGAATGTTTTCCCTAACCCCTGCCACTTTCTCACTTGTTCTTTCTTTTCGCTTTTGCATGTTTCTATTATTTAGCATCTCTGTTGTCAGAGAAGCTTTCCCTGACATCTTCATTATATTAACATCTTCAATTAGACCCCCCCCCAGTGCTTCTTCAAGTGTATTGGTGTATTTGCTTGTGTCTCCCCCACGACTATAAACTCCAACATGGTAGGGTGAGATCACCTTCCCAGCAGTCATAGTGATTGTCCATTGCCTTGTCCGTAGTGGCTATTGACAAAAAATACTGAATAAGTGAACAGATGACTAAATGAATGAGACCTATAAAGTAAAGCTTTAATGGGATGCAGAACAGACTAAAAACCAATGTGGGCACCTGGTCACGTTCACAGCCTGATGGGAAATTCTCCTTTTACTGGTCACACTCAACAGCATCATGTGTGTGAAATCAAAATTACACACAAGACAGCTTCTCAATGGGCAGACAAATCAGAACACATCTGCTTTCTTCATATTAGACTTTGTCAGTTTCAGTTCAGCAGAGTCTAAATCCACTCACTGGAGAGGCAGAGCTAGTGATGGAGAAGGGGGTTATGATGGGCTTTCTCTGGCCAGTTTGCTGTACACCAGGGCTATGGTTATTTGTTCTGTATTTCAAAATATTTCCTCACTTTTAGTAATATGTTACCTCCACCTTCTCTCGTTCAGATGCACTGTCTCTCAACAGCTCTTTGGATTCATTCCAGCAGAGAAGTGGCACCTCTTCTGCTCTATTTTTACATCTTAAAAGCAAATAGTTACCTTGAGTTGTCTAAACACGGCCTCGCAGACTGTTCCCAAGCAGCACACAGGATCAAATAAATCACTAGGAAGCAAAGTTAAACCGATCATCAGTCATTCTCACAGGGAGGGAGGAAATGCACTAATCCTTTTAGAATTTTGCCTCAAATTTTTTCCTTCTTCTTCTGATTGCTTCATTTGCGCGATACACCAGGAGACGGAAGTCATGCAAAGGCCCCCAGGAAGCCTGACTGTGATTTGGTTCTGACACATCTGGAGGGGAGGGGAAGGGAGGACAGGGTGAGAGTGGGTGTCGGAGGTGGTGCATCTGTGTGTGGAGGCCAGACAACCTCTGATGCCATTGCTCAGGACTTAATTTTTTGAGACCAAGTTGTCACTTTTACCTGGAACTCACCAAGTAGGCCTGGCTATCTGGTCAGGTGGTCCCTGCCTATCTTCATTTTCATGGCGCTGGGGTGGGTAGTGAGATAGTCTCGCAGCCCTGCAAAGACGGCTCCTGACAGGGTGGCAAGCACACAGAACTCTATCCAGCTTGTTTTTACACAGGTCCTCATGCTTGCTCAGTGTTGACTTTACCAGCTGAGCTGCCTCCTCACCCCTGGTCTGAAGTCTCTAGATGCCTATTCAAAACCAGCTCAGAATACTAAGTAAGACCTCTCCATGAACTACCTTCCCTGGCATGCTCAGAGTGAGTCTCTCATGGGATGCAAAGCCAGAGCCCACATTTGCACGTGAATTGCTACTTTTAACTTGCTAAGAGTTTCACTATGAAAGACACTTTACTTCCAATATAAGAGGTTAAGAGTCCTGCACTTGACCTCTCTGAGCTTTTCAGGGAAAAGCTGAATGAAAAGAGGAATGGAAAGTTCTGATCTATGTCTTCGAACTCACTGAAATTCCCAGACACACAGTGTGGAAGGGCTTTATTTTGAACATTTTCCAAATCCAGCCCTCTCTTTGAAAGTGCCTTATTTAGAGAGTGGAGAGATGGCTCAGCAGTTAAAAGCACAGGCAGATGGTTCAGCAGTTAAAAGCACAGGCAGAGCACCCAGGCTTGGTCCCTGTTAGGCAGCTCACAATCATTGGGACCTCCGGGAGACCTGATGCCTCTGAACCCCTACTAACAGACACACTAACATACACAATTAAAAAGTAGCTGATGTGGATTGATTTAGCTAATGATTCTCAATCACTGAGATGCTTGTGAGTCTTGTGGTCTAAGAATAAACGGGCATCACCAGACATTGCAAACTTCTCTTTCTTTCCTCCTTCAGAAGAGCTCTGTTTACTCCACAGCACACAGAGGAGATTCCGTGGAATTAAGATTTATGTGGTTTGTAGAATCCCAAATCCCTGGCTGCACGAGTGGCCTGGTAAATACAGATAAAACATTTATCTGTTTTCTCTATAGCTTTACTTCAGGGAAGAAGGTGAAGAGGAATGAGTATATTGATCATATTATTTTTAAAGCCATCTTAAAGATATATATATATATATATATATATATATATATATATATATTCTTAATGCAGTTCTCTTTACCTGGGAGTTTATAAAACAGTGTGCCAGCCTTAATTACTGGATTAAAACCTACACTTTAGGCCTGGCACAGTGATGCCATTCAAATATCAGGATCTGAATTCAGATGACCGGAGCCCAAATGGATCTGGGCCCAGTAGTATGTGTTTATAATAGCAGCTCTCCACTGTGACACAGGAGGCAGAGATAGCATAAGCTCCAGAAACTTCCAGGCCAGCAAGCCTTGCTCACTCAGCAGTAAACAACAAGACACCTTGTCTCAACAGATGTGCAAGGCAAGGACGAACACCAAGACACTCCTCTGGTCTCCTCAAGTATGTGCATCTTCACAGTGATAGACATGAACACACACACAAAGATAAAGAGACAAAAAGTATATTTTAACTTTTTAATTACACACTTTATTGTGATCTTAACTATTTCCCTCACCCCATTTAATCAAGGGGGATACAAACTAAAAATGAGGTTTCCGGTCCAAAACCTTTTGAGGCTTTGTTTCCAACTCAAGAAGAACACAAGGGTGTCAGGGACTCTGTGAGACTTCATCTGACATCTCCCCTACTTTGTGCACATGCCAGCCAATCTAAATCACAGTCACATTCCTGGCATCACAGCCATCTTATATACTGAAGTATTCCCTCTCTTTTTGCATTGAAATTCTCATCCAAGCCCTCCTGTTGCCCTGGCTTTGAAGAGTAAGGGGCTTAGGTGTTTGCTGTGTGAACTGTTAACCTTGAAGTCAGCTGTGAAGGTAAGATTCAACATGTACTTTAGAAAGATAAGGATAGCCAACAACCATGGACCAACAGCAGGGAGGAAAGCAGAGGGAGTCAGCCTGGGGGATGCATTTGCCATGGTATGGGAATGTAAATACACAAGACAAGAAGACAAGTGGATGAGAGGTTGCAGGTCCAGACTCAGTCATATGAATATAGCACCCAGGAATCTATTGCCGAGGTGTGGCATTCATCTGTCCCTAAGTCCAACCTGAAACAGAGACATCAAGTGTAGACTAATAGTCATTGGTTCATTCAGGAAATATGTGAATGCTACACAGAGTGCTTCTAGTCCTGATGGCTGAGGAAGCTGGGAGAATCCCAAACCAAAGCCCATAGCATGGTGCCATGGGGCCAGACTGGAATTACATAAATGTGTTCTGGGAATGAAAAAACTACCTTGTAAAGACCTTATTAAAAACCAACCAGTAAGATTCCATGAAATTTTTACAATTATGTATCCTCACTTTGGGATTATACAGTTGGAAATAGTTGTTACAGAGTTGGGTTTGAGAAACATTAAAGGAGACATCTCCAAAGCATAATCTTTAAAACAAAGCTTCAGGGTTCAGAATTTGATGTCATAGTGCAGGACAGAGGTCTCTGCTGACTGGAGAAGGGGAGCATTTACCTGTGATGGACCTCAGCCTTGGAGGGTTTCTCAATGGTTTAAACAAAACACACTTGCTAAACTTTCAATAACTGTTGAGGCCACCTGCCAATTGCATGTATGTTATGTCCTGACCTCACAAGGTGCAATGGATAACATCATGGCATGTAACATCATGTTGTGCCATACATAGTGCCCCCATCAGGACTTTTTCTTAGAGGCCAGGCACTGCAGCCAAAAACAGCAAAGACCCCAGAAACATTGAAACCAGAGCTTAGGATACTTAATTGAAGTTCTGTCTTAGGTACCGAGTTTATAAAATTGAGTTTGACATCTCAGAGAGACAGACTTTTTACCCTGTTTTTTATTCATGGCTGCTTCTTTCTTTGGGGCCTAATAAGAAGACAAAAAATGTCACACATTTCAGTAAAATCTGTCTCTGGTCCTGGTGTGACACTTCATAGCCGTGAACTCCTGTGTAATGCCCCAATGCTAATGACTCACATTCTGCCTACTGAATGGATGTGAAGAATTGCAATAGCAAAGAATGTGGCTCTGTGAGAGAAGGGAGAGGGTATTTACCTAGTGTGCACAAAGCCCTGAATTCAAGGTGCAACTAAAAAACGTGTGACCAAAACCACAACTAAGTGTGAAACCCATAAAAGTTTTGTTGTTGTTGTTGTTTGCTTTTTCTTTTATCTTTTCTTTTTTCCTTCCTTCCTTCCTTTCTTTTTTTGATACAGAGTCTCACTGTATTCCCCTGGTCTGCCTTGAACCTAATAGGCAGAATGGGATGGCTTCCAACGTACAGTGAGTTCTACCTGCCTCTGCTTCTTGGATGCTGGGATTAAAAGGACATAAGTGATACTCTTTTAAAGAAAATCTGTCTGTATATTTTATATGTATAATTAATGTTTGTGATTTCATATCAGATCACAATAGGTAATATGTACTACGAGCTTCATCTTTACTAGGCATTGTCTTAACACATAATCATCATAACCCCATGAATTCTGCCTTGATTCTGTCTGCATTTCTGCTGGACAGAAGACAACAGACAGAGCTGGGATTCACAGTAAGGTGTTCACAATGGCAAAGCTGATTTCCACTGCTCCATCACACTGAGTTTGCACATCTGAGCCCATTTAAACTGCCTCCTGGAAATGAGAGTGTGCTTTTGACCTAGGAAAGAAATACTGTCCATATTGTTCATAGAAGGGAAAACATGTTCCATAAAAACGTCTCTAATCATGGCAGCCTTTAGTCACTCATTACATTAAAGGTGGTTAACCTTATCTATTAACCAGGAAGCTACACAGCCAAAAGGAGAGTAAATGTGACAGCTTTTGAGCCCTCTGACCTCAGTTTGCTGAGATTTTCCATATCCTAGTTCCCTCATCTGTTCAATGGGAAGTGCCATGCTGGCAGCTGGGGCATGGTGTGTGGCACTCTAATGCCACAGTAACAGAAACATTTCCTAAAGTTCTCTGCTTCTGACCTTCTGGTGGAGAGGGGGGCATACATGATCATCTTTAAACTTCAATCCAGATGTAAGCTTTTTTAATCACCAAATACCATGAGGAAACTGAGGCTCATTGGGAGTTAAATTTTTACCCAAGGGAATAGCAGTTTCTGTTCTTGGATCCTGTGTCTTTAGCACACTACCTCCCCAGACTCTAAAACACTGTAAAATAATAGACACAGTCTCTTCTACATACTTTAGGCAATGAAGTCATGTACTGCAATGTAGTTACTTGAAAACATGTGCTTTATGCATAGTAGAACACCACTCTTAAACAGACCTCATGGACAGGGAAGAATGTGACTTAATAGCACAGCTGTTGGACATGATTGATTGATTCCCAGAGTCCTAGACTCTACTGGAACCTTCTAATATATCTTTGCTATTCCTTCCAGGATCAACACAGGAAGGCAGAGGGAAAATGTGGCATTTTACACCCATATTCATTTGTAGGAAATGTGTAGTGTTCTTTTGAACATTTGGATAAGATCAAATTCAGATAAATTGAATTTATATTTCTTTTGACACAGATTGGAATCAGAGACGTGTTCCCCTCCTATGCAGAGTGAAGGAAGAAAATCCTCTTAGTAAATCTCCTTGACTTGTTCAAGGTGTTTGGTATCTCTCTGTAAAACTCAACAGGATGTTAAGGCACAGAGTTTAGGCCTCAGGGTTGAAAACAATGAATGCTTTGGATATAACATTACAATGGATTTTGATGAAGAAAAACTTTCCATTCCTATACTGGGCAATGTGTTCAACCATGTTGTCACTGCCTACTGAATCCTTACTCCATAAGAAATCTTTTAACAGAGACCTGAAACAGTGAGTCTCAGAATCAAGGATTCTCAGAAACCAAGGAGAGGGCATGGTAGAGGCAAAGGCTGTAAGATCTGCGTGTGGATGGCTTGGAGGACTCACCCTACAGCCAGCATGACTACAGTGGTGGGAAATGGTAAGGGAAGGGCCAGGGAGCTCGCAACCCCTGCGAGATTTTGACTGTAACCTGAAGGCAGATGGGTACGCAGAGGAAAGAGGTTTTTGGACAAAAGCTACCGTTTAATTTCAATTTTGATACAAAACTGGTTTGGGAGACAGACTTGAATGGGAGAAGAAGAAGCAGAGGAAGGGAGCAATTGTGGAAAAAATCCACTATTTATGGGGCTAGGTGAAAGGCAACAGAATGAACAGTGATGGTATTAGGTCTATATTGAAGGTAGGGGCAGTGAGCATAGGCACAATGGCTTCTAAGGAAATGGGGGATTCGAGGTCTTCAGAATTTTCTTATGGGAAAGCAGAACAATGAAGTCACAGTGAGGCTGAGAAGGAGGGTCTCAGGTGGAAATCCAGACGCTTGATTTAGAATAGAGGAGGAGTGAGATGGCAATAAGATATTTAAGGAACTGTAGGAAATTAGATATGTCAGTAGGGAGTCTAGGTTAGAGCTGAGAGTTCGTGAGCTGTGTGTACATAGATAGTATTAAAGGACACCAAACAGGATTTGACATATTTGGCATTTAAATATACATAAATACATAAATATACATAAAGTTGATCCATGGAACACTCCAACATCTTAAGATTTAGCAGAGAATGAGGAAAAGAATTGGAAGATGGTCTCCATTTGAAAAATAACTAAAAGGGGTTGGAGTGCTAGGTCAGTGTTTGAATGCTTGCTGCTCTTGGGGAGGACCTGCCAGGATAGCTTTCCCAGAATTCACTTCAGGAAATTCATAACTGTCGTGTCTCTCCAGCTGCCAGGAGCCCCATGCCTCTGCTCACTGTGGGCCCCTGCACTCACGTCACAAGCCCACACACAGAGAAATGTACACATATTAAAAGTGATTTAAACACTTTAAATAGTATTTTACACACACACACACACACACACACACACACACACACACACACACACACACCTTCTTCTCTGGACAATCTCAATGAAGACAAAGGAGTCAGTATTTGACAGAGGATAATGCTGAGCTCCTCAAGGTGTATTAAAAACAAAACAAACAAATAAAACCCAAGGAGCCTTTGCAGAGAAACTTCACCAGCACTGACTCACTTGCACAAACAAATGACTTTGGATTTTAGATGAAGACATAGTTGGTGCTGTGAAGTAAGCTAAGAGGAGAAATGGCAGCATGGACAGAAAAGGAGGTATGGGTGGGCTTTCTGACACATGACTACTAGGATAACACTTTCAACAAAACATCTTAGCAAGTACGAAAATAAGCACACCATACTGAGAAAACTGCAGCTGGTGTTTTAGTGTACATTTTTTCTATTTTTTTCATATACACATGTATTCTTCAAATTAGGGTTATATTCATATTTGTATTGTAAGTTGAGCTATATTGCACATATGCTCTTGTAATATAGGTTAGGTTGCATATATATATAATGGTGGTTTACTTTTCTACTTGATCCTATAGCAGGGATTGAGAGGGGGAAGATTTTTATTATTATTTCCAAGAGAAGAGAGATTCTGGAAGAGAAGGTAGTGTCAGTGTGGGAAATGTCACATTTGGTAGATACAAGTAGAGTGATGGCCGCATGTGTAGACTAGGTGTAGACCAGAGGGACCAGAAAGAAGAACTACTTTAGATTCTTGGAACCTTGGTGCCTGAGATGGTGGTTTGCTACCAGGAGGGCTGAGATAATAAGACTGGCAGATGCCTTGTTTACTTTTTATATCAGGGTGGATGCCTGACACACTTCCTGTGTAGTCGGAGGAGGCTTTGCGTTTCATTACTAGGAAGGATGATTGGTGAGGCTCTGCCAGGTACCTACCAACATAAAAGGGCGATGGAGATAATTTGTCACACTAAGTAGATTGACTGAATTATTCAGCTCACCTTTCCTCATAGCTGACAAAAATAAAACCCAAGTCATCCTGTTTCCTCCTGGTTTTCATTTTCATCCAGATTGACACACACCAGCCAGATTTAATGTAAGAGCTTTCCTTACAAATCTGTGAACAGTGTGGGAATTTTAGTTTATCAGTGACGTGTTAGAGCATGACTACAATAAAATCATCCCTCCTCTGTTGTTTTCATGGCACAAATTGCCCCTCAAAGAAGTACTTGATACAATCAGATTCAGGTAAAATTGGCTAGACTAGCGCCAGGAAAAGTCTTTTTAAATATCAAAGAAAACAGCAGCATGCAATTGCTAACTTCAGTGGCTTAATTTGTGTTTGTGAAGACTGAGCTCTATCTTTTCCTAGGTTTAGATTCTACACTGGAGACCTCAACTAACGAGAGATAGGGACTTCATAAGATCAAGGTCATGCTTTCACTAGCCACAAAGAAACACAAACTGTCTTAACCATTTATCTTAACAGGAAACCAGTTATTCATATCCATGTGTCCCAGGTCACTTAAACAGCAGCAAGGACTGGGTAGCTGGCTCGATAATGTCCATCATTGTGCTATGAAAACAGACATACAACTTCAAGCCTAGAGGTATCTCAACCATAGGGAAATGATCTCGAGTTTGTGTGTAAATGACAGTGTGTATACAGGAGTTCAAAAACACAGGAATCTCGCTTAATCTTATTTCCAGTATTTATATTTAGCTGAAAACTAATGTACTGTAATTGTCCTTAACACTTACTTTTAATTTACACTGCATTATACAGATGTTTTTGACCAGTGGAGAATGATACTTTCTTTATAAATGCGAAGATTTGAAGCTTCTTTGCTGTTCATTACAGCTAAATTCATGCATTGCAACACAGAGTTTTTGTTTGTTTTTCCAAATAGAAAGCATTATCTTCACAGCTTGGAGTTTGTGAAAAGTCCACAGGGAAAGGACGCACCAGCACAGAGGAACAAGCTCACTTTGTCCCTGCCACTTCACATTCAGGGTCACATGCAATGACAGAACAAAACTGACACCACTGATCAAATTGCGGAAACATTTGGTTTAGGATCCTTGTGCTTTTGCCTCTGAAGTCTCAGACGGTGGTTCCTGTGGTCCCTCTCTAGTAGAGCCTCACAGATCCCATCTGAAGTGTAGTTCCTTGCCAAATCTACTCATCACTCTCCTCCTCCCTTACTGTGGAACCCAACTGCCCCCTCATCTTCAAGGAGAATTATGCTTTGTGCTGTTTATCAACAAAATAAAAGGTCAAACCCTTAACCTCTAACAAGCCCCCATTTCCATCTGCAGTCCACCAGTAGCTCAAAGGCAACACAGGAACAGACAGAAAGCCCCTCTTTAGTCTCAAACTCCAGGTCTGTTTTTAGCAAAGCCATCAATAGGAACAGAATGGTGTGGATCAGCTTTTCAATATGCAAGATGGACGGAGGTAACCAGTTTTCTCTTGTAGTGGATTATGGGGGGGACATCCATCAGTATCTCCAAATTACCCTCTGATCACCAAAGCACACTGATTACAGGAATAAAATATTTACCTAACAGGTTTCAAGTTCAGCACAGCTTCCTCCTCCAATTTTCTTTTATCTTTTTGCCTCCCACCCACCAAAGTCTTCTTTCAATTGCCCCCTCCCTAGCCTATCTGGCACATTGGTAAGAAACGAACTGTTTTCTCCATGACCTCTAAGCCTTCTATTCTACTCCAAGGCAAGCAACGTGGAGTGCACGCTCAGCAGGCTGCAAGCGAGCAGGGAGCCAGTCTGTCCGCTAGGCTTTCCAGCCATAAAAACCTCACACTGCCCACTGTGTTTTGTGTTTTGGTCAACGTGGAGCCCCAAGCCGACCCAGTCTATCCGTCGCACCTGGCTGCAATCCTTGACCCACACAGCACCTCAGCGCTAAGCAAACAACAACAACAAAAACACCAAACAGCAACAGATTCCTTTGTTTTACATGCAAATCCTACCTCCGGTAGTTGTCACATCTTCCTCAAAAGCCACGCTTAATTTTTAATGACAGCGATCCGGTAAAGTCCTCCACACAGCCGCCGGTACTCATCTTTACCCTTCGCGCTGGCAGCCTTTGTGGACCATTGATGTCACACCCTCGCTAACTCATGGCTTTAATACTCCTCGCTCAAAATGTCTGCAAGAGTTTGGAAGGACAATAGGAGTGACGGGCACTCTAGACAGCCATGCTTAAGATTAGTTCTCGGAAGCTCTGTGGAAGCCCGTTCAGACTGTTTTTTAAAAGCGTGCAGGAGGTAGGATTTATTAGCCTATGACAGGCATGCTGCTTCTGTTTTTATTAAATACTGTAATAGGCTGTCTGTTAGCATCTCTGTGATAGGTCCAGCTTTTCTTCCCCACTGCTTTCGAATTTTCAGACTGAAAAGGGAGCGAACCTGATCTGACTCCCTCACTCTGCCACCACCCTGCCTATGAGGTCAGTTTTCCAAATCCTCTAACTTCGGGAGAAAGAACTCCGGAGGCTGCTACAGGAGCGTGATCTTGGGAGTAAACAACTTTGGAATCCCCAGGGGATCTTTTTACTCTCAGCAAGGGACTCTTGCTCTCTCAAGTTGGACAAAGAAGTTAGTTCTGGAGCTAGGTGAGAGCATCCTTTCAAACACGGAAAGTTGTCATGGATGACTGACATTGCCTTATGGTATGTACTTACCTGAAGTCTCAAAGGATGTATCAAATGGATAGCATGCCATGCATCAGTAAGCAGATTAACTGTTAGGGCAGGGCTGCTGCAAAGCTCCTTGCTCCAGTTTGAGGCCATCCATTTTCCTGTTTACTATCTACGTGGGAAGAATGAGTGGGGGGGGGGTAGAAGGGCTCAGGATGGGAACCCTGCCTTGATGTCCTTTGTTTGCACAATCATGACTAAGGAAGCAGGGCCAGAAATGAAGCTACTACATGGATGCAAATGTCACTCTGAAAGTATTCTTCCACACAGGAAAACACAAATAAAAGTTCTTGGTAGATAATGTTTTGTGCTCCAAGTACCCAGGTTTAGTCTTTTTCTTCTGTTTTTCTTTTTCCTCTCTTGCTACCTCAGAACCACCAGTATACGGTAGTTACTATGGAAACAGAGTGGTCGGCTCCAAGGGAGGGGCTCAGAGAACAGCAGATGCAATATAGATGGGAATGTTCTATGTTGCACTGTGCAACAGCAATCAAGCAATGGGTAACAAACAGAATAAACCCACTACCAAGAACCCTCCAGAATAGCACTCAAGGGGCGTGATTGTAAGTTACCATAGTTTAATTATGGGCATTTGTGCTGACTAAAAGTTCCACACTGAGCAGACCCATATCCTATTCTATGCAATAACTGGACATAAGAATTGTTCTTATATCTGACTGGAGATTTTGCTTTCATCTCTCTTTCTTTCTCAAGCTTCTGGCTGTTGGTTTGAATATGCCCTGATTATTTTTGAATTTTAGTTGTTATTTGACTGACTATTGCTGACTATTGTTTCTTCTTGGGAATAAAATGTGATTTGGTAGGAAGGAGACCCTCCTTGTATCACAAACAATAATCATATTTTATTCTAAATGAGTGTCCTTACATGATTTACTCATAGCTCACCCTAGGTCTCAATGTACATTGTGAATTTTGAAAGGTATTCCTTTGTCCATTGGATTGCTACAACAGAAAGATTCTCTCTCTCTTCCTCTGTGTCTGTCGTTTTCATTTCTTCAGGTAGAAAAGAAACATTTTTTTAAAGAACCTTTTTCTCATCACCTGGTCATCAAAGACAAAACAATTCTTATCAAAATAGTTGAATATTCACAGCTGTAAAGCACAGAATGGAAGACTGTCACTGGTGTCTTAGTCTCATGGTAATTGGAGCAATTCACATAACTGTTGACTCAAAACACAGCTCTGTCTCAAAGGGAATAAGAGATTGTTCTGAAGCCAAATTTGAATGGCCAAAACTCAGAAAGCATGGAGCTGGATTACCCCAGGTTCCACATTCCCACATGGAAGCAGCTTCTTGAGAGTTAGGGGGAAAAGCCAGTCATTACTCAAGGAGTTTTAAAAATACATTGGTGGGGACACGAGAGAGGCAGTTACAGAAAGATGGGGGAAGCCTTCCATTACCTAGGTGCTATTTGATGACATTCTTAGTTTTTGGGTGGTCTGCAGGCCAAGCTAAACCTAACTAAGTGAAACCTGCATCATTCAAGCATCCCCACATCATTGAAGCTCTGATGGATCCCTCAGTCTTCGTGGCCACAGTTTCTTTCCAGACACTCTTGCTCACACTCCAATAAGAGGGCACACAAATCTCACAGTGAAATTGTTGGGAGAGAATTCTTCAGGGTTTTATGGGAACTTTTCTTGTTTGTTTGTTTGTTTGTTTGTTTGTTTCAAATAGGCAAGCATATCACCCATTTGTAATGGGAGAAGGATTATTTCAGTAAAAGAATATTTATGATGTTCTCTTTTTAAATGAAGGAAAAGTAATGTCATAAATTATATACACCAGGCTTTTTCTACAATTTAATAACATCCCTATAGTTTGGAGAGAAGGGACAGAAGGAAGAAAAGATGAATAGAGGGCAAGAGAGAAGTGCAGAAAAGGATCCCAGCCAGAAGGTGCTCCCTCCAGCCCCTTGTGGTAACTCAGCAGGTACTCTGCTATAGTCTGCCATGCAGTGAGAAACTAGAGTGGGCACAGGGATGTTAGAGATGCTTTAGTGTAGACGTGGGTTGTCTGGATCTCTCTGAGAGGTGGCATTTCTCTAAGCGTGGGGTCAAGGTAATGAGGAAGGAGAAGCATGGTTGAGTGAAGAAAGGAAGAAGAGAAAAGAAGGGAAAGGAAGGGAGGAGAATGGAGGGGAAGGGAAGGAGATCTAAGAGGAAGGGGAAGAGGGAGGAGCGTCTGCAGGTGGCACTGAGTTGGGAGAGAACAGAGTTTGGAGTAAACAGACTTGATTTTGAGGCTGTTATCCTGTTTGAGCATTCAGTGTGGAAATGAAAGGGCAAGATGGCAAGTTGGCAAGGATGTGGCATGGGACCAGTCAGGGAGAAGTAAAGTTCATTACAAAGAAAACTCAAACTTTGGTTGGAATCAGCCAGGAAGAGAGATGGATGGCTAAGTAGGACTAAGGGCAGCACTAAGAACCAAGGCAAAAGAAGGTGTAAGAAAGGGGGCACACAGAACACAGAGGGTGCAAGAGTATTTCTCTCTCTCTCTCTCTCTCTCTCTCTCTCTCTCTCTCTCCCCTCTCTCTCTTTCTCTGGGTCCTACAGAACAGCTCCCCTTTTATTTCTGTTCTGTTTCTTTAGTTATACTCCATGCTGAAGATCCAGATCACAAGGTATCTTTCTAGTCCACTCCTGCAGAAAGAGAGAAACCTATGCATGGATATTGACAGCTTGTTCTGCCATCCTGAAAAGAGCTGATGTGAAGAAGGCATTTGGCCTCTCCCAGCATAGCTTCCCTGTTCGGAGGAGGAAGTATAGACCAATAGAAGGCAGTGAGACATCAGAGTGTAAGAATATGCAGAGCCTCTGAGACTAGGTAGCCCTTCCACAGCATCTGCTCTCACAGTATGCAGGAGGAAACTTGTTCTACTGTGTGTGTGTGTGTGTGTGTGTGTGTGTGTGTGTGTGTACAAATATTAGATGAGGGGACTACGGACTCGTTGAGAGGGATGTGAGCTTGAAATTGGCAGCTTACATGTGCAGGCGGCAAGTGCATAATTTAATGAATGGAAGTATGAGGACATCCACTCATTATGAGTCATCACTATTAAAATGAAAATTTGATAGATATATAATTTGAAGGTGTAGCTGTTGGCTACAGATCCAAGTGATAATGATATTGTGGGATGTATAATTCACACTCTGAAGAGTACAGCAAGAGCATTTGCTCTGCTCTATTTTTCTAAGAATAATTGAGAGTTTAGAAGCAGCTTCCTTCCTGCTATCCTGTGAATTCAGAGGCTGACTCACTCTGCAGTGAGCTTCTTTCCACTTTAGGTGCATAAGAAAGCAAGTCTCTAGAGTAGACAGAAATGTGTAATCCTGGAAGTGAAGAGGAAACAGTTGGGAAAGCTAACCTAATGAAGTAATAATTCCTTAAAAGATTACATGTATGAACTAAATTCACTCATTTTTTTTCAGGGCAGAGTCTCACTATATAGCCCAGTCTGGCATCAACCCATGACAATCCTCTTGCTGTAGTCTGGCAATTTGAAGATTGTAGGTATGAGCTATCATGTCCTGTTCTCCTACACTGGTTTTAATCTTCATAATAAAATTAATGAGAGGCAAAGCAGGTCTTGATCCTCCTTCCCTCCCTCTCTCCCTCCCCCTGCCCACCATCTGCACAGGTATGTATATCCTATATGTGTGTGCATGCTTGGAAAGGTCAGAAGACGACCCAGGACATTGTTTCCCAGACACCATCTACATTGTCTTTTGAGACAACATCTCCCACTGTCCTGAAACTCATGAAGTAGGCAAAACTAGCTATCTACAGTGACCTGAGGGTCCTCCCCAGTGCTGGGATTACAAGCATAAACTGCTATGCCTTTTTTTTTTTTAAAGCTTTTTAAGATGGGTTCTGAGAGTTGTCCTCATGTTTGTTTGACAAGTGCTTTACTGACAGGGCCATCTGTCCAGAGGGGCAAATATTAGCTCTTTCTCTATTAATAGAAACTGAAGAAAGAGGTTAAGTAGTTTCTTGAAGATTAGGCAGCCTGTTTGTCCTTCTTCCAAACTACAACCCAGTGTTCGTTGCACTAAATGAAGCTAGCTTCCAACACTTTACCCAGGTAAAATGTCTACTTTGTGAAACCCAGACATACAAGCATCAGAAGGAAAATTCTTGAAAAGAATTTATAAATAGAAAAATAAAAGAGAAGCCATAGTCTAAGTGAAAATATTTGCAGAAGATCCATCTCATGCAGGGCTGAACATGGTACAGCACGTGGGAGGGTGACTTGGTGGTTTGGTGAGGGTTCACACTGACTTGGTGGTCTGACATATAAATTAGGACTAAGCAGTCAGTAGACTGCTGACTATGGATGTCCCTCAGTGAACACTTGGAAGGCTGGTTTCCAGTCCGACAGTGAAGAGGTGCACTATTAAGATGAGATCCTGAGAGCTCAGAGTCCTGGGGTCTCTGCCCCCATGTAAGGACTATGTTGTCATGGTAGTGGGAAAGTTGTGACAGGAACAGTTTTCCAACTGAAAACCAGAGTCTGGTGCTATTTTCCCATCATCTTTTGTCATTTAGCAAGAGGTCTCTTCCACCAGGTGCAGGTGGGCCTCCATCCTTGAATTTCCATGCTGTGTGTAATTTATATCTGTTCATAAAAGTTCCCCTACTCCATCAGAATTCAGTTACAGTAGAACACATGGCTTGGGACACATTTGATCCACCCATCAAGGCTCCTGGGAATTTACCCAAACAGTTTGAAA